TTGGTTGGAGCATTGTCCTGTAAACAGAAAGCAATGAAAAAGTGTCCTCGGGTGAGGATTAAAAAAAAAACAACACAACTGTATGAGAAAGAGGTGGAGAAGGTGTCAAAAGTCTTTGTTGTTGTTTTTTAAATTTTTATTTAGTGATTTTAGAGAGAGAGTGAGAGAGGAAGGAGCGGGGGGGGAGAGAGAGAGAAACATCAATTTGTTGTTCCACTTATTTATGTATTCACTGGTTGATTCTTATATGTGTCCTGACCAATGAGCGAACCAGCAACCTTGGAGAACATATTGGGACGACACTGTAACCAATTGAGCTATCCAGCTAGGGCATAGAAAATGGACACATTTTTGGAAATAAGAAAATGTCTAATATGCAGCAGTGTGTATGTGAAGTTTATTTTTGGACATAAGAAAATGTCTAAGAGGCATCAGTATGTATGTGTCTGGAGTTCAGGGGCAAGGCCCCAATCAGAAGGGCATGTTAGGGAGTCGGAGTATAGGTGGCAGTTTAAGCTTTGAGACTGGATGAGGTCACCCAGGTATTAGATGTACCTAAAGAAGAACAGAGGCCAGAGGGACTGAGCCGGGGGCTTCCAGCATTTCTAGATCAGAGAAATGAGGAAGCAGCAAAAGAAACACAAGTGGCCATGGCTGGCAAAACAAGGGCTCCAAACGGGGGAGCTGGCCCAGGAGAGGGCTCCTGGATGTAGGTGTGAATAATTTCCAGCCATTCTCCTTCCATGAGCCTTGGTATTAAAAAGTAAGTTGTGTATGTGTACAGACACGTGTGTATGTGTGTATGTGTGATAATATCTTATATATGACTAGCACTTCGGAGGTTGTAACATCTCTTTTATTTGATCTAGGCAAAGGTAGTATAGCCGCTATCATCTCATCTTACAGATGAGTAAACCGAGGCACAAAGGTTAGGTTATTTGCTCAAATTACAGACATACCTCATTTTATTGTGCTTCACTTTATTGTGCTTTACAGATGTAGCTTTTTTTTTTTTTTTAACACATTAAAGGCAAGACCCTCCACCAGCAAAAAGATTAAAACTCGCTTCACCATGATCGTCACTTTATTGTGGTGGTCTGGAACTGAACTCACAATATCTTCAAGGTTTGCCTGTACATCAATAATAGGTAGCAGACCCGGGACTGGAAGGAATCGTCTGTCTCAAAGTGTCGAACTCTCATTGAATTATGCTGCCTTTGGGGTTGGTGTCTGCCCTAGGAGCATGTTGCAGGGTAGCAAAGACATTGTAGGAATGTCAGTGAAGCAGGAGATGAAATCTTTGTGTCCTTGCTGATGTGTATGTAGTCTGCATGTTTCTGCGCTCCCAATGACTACTTCTGTGGGGACAGATTGTAACAGGGTCATATGGGGATACCTTGAAGTGCGTTTTGAGCTTGAAATGATTTTCAAGCTTTTATTTCCATAGCAGCAAGGAAACTGCTAATATTATTACTCTTAGAGGGGTCTGTACCCATGATCTCAGGTTCCAAGAACGCCAGCTCCGATGAACCTATTTCCCACTAGAAACTGTCAAACAGAATCAGAAGGTCTTATCTGGGGGACTTTCACATCGGGTGGGGACAGTGATAAATTTACTTTGGTTTTCCTGCGGTTGGATTAACAGGTACCTTCAGAGATAGAGCAGCTTCTGGGCTGAGCTTTTCCACCTACTCCACCGAATGATTGATTTCATCTTACTCCTAGTGTCTTGCTCAAAGCATTACATTCTCTCCAAATTTATTTTCATGCCTTTAAGAAGTTGCTCCTGAGATCTGAGGATCCACTGGTCAAGCTTGGCCCTGCCCTGGGGAGAGATAAACAGATTGCAACACTGGTGAGTCAGGCAGGGTTGGACAGCTGCTCCCTCACGGTGCCCCTGGTTGTTCCTGATAAGGAAAAACATGGCTCATGCCAGGGCGACGCTGTGTGTGCAGACACTTATGAACAGACACTCCCAGCCCCCAGTGTTGTCTTAAGAGTAAATTATTGACATCCTGAATGGCTGAACATTGGGAAAAAAAGGTGAGCACAAACTTGCTCTGCTCAAGATACGCTCTGGGTTTCAAAAGCCAATAATAAGTAAAACAAGGGCTGTTATTTGGCACCATTTGGAGCTACCTCTTGGACCTACCTGGTCAAAAGCAGGTTTCAGGAATCCTTATGCTCTGGAAAGAGGAGGGGAGGTTGTAACAGGAGACGGGGGAGGAAGGCAGAAGAGGGAAGATGGATTTACGAAGGAGCAAATGGCAGAAGGCCCAGAGAAGAAAGGCATATCATTAAAAATGTGAACATATCTTCACCACAAAGAAACTGATTCTATGATGTCTTTTTAAAAACACCTCCTCCCAAACGTGAATGCCCTTTTCCTTAAATGATATACAGTGTATAATAAAGAGTGGGGCAAATGGGGGATTGAGATTAATGGTACAATAATGTTGCCACCAATATCATATTACACCTTGTAATGAACACTTCATGTTAACTTTATGAAAACCAATTTATAGTTTACAAGGGGCTTTCCCATTCATCTTTTCCATTTCCTCCAACAGCCCACTCAGGTTATGAGGCACATTTTACAGATGAGAAAATTGAGGCTCCAGGAGGATATATGCAATTAACTGAGGCATAATTAGGAGCAAGGGAGGGGCAGGTTTGTCCTAAGTAACCCAGAGCTATAGGTGATTCCTTTTCATTGACTGCTCTGAGGGCTAAGTCTTCATTGCATTTCGAGGTAGAGCAGCCCTACCTTTTCCAGTGTTGTTCAGAACAAGTTTCTTGAACTAAACACTTCTTTGATTAGTTTTGTCTGGTACTTAGATCACATCAGCATAGCACCTGTGAAGACTAAAGCATCAGGGAAAATTTCTAGATCCATCCCATGCCATTGTTTCTCAGTTTCCCATCCTCAACCAGTTCTTTCTGTTCTGGAAACAACACCTTTGGGTCCTCTAAGCATGCCATCTTGTTTCTCAGGTGGGTGGGAAACGTCCTTATTTTCTTAGGACATTATGGAAGCACAGGACCCACCTCAAGGGATCAGGCAGGTGTTTTGAAAGTGCTGATGCCTATTGGAATCTTCGAGCAGTGGTTCTCAAACTTTGGCCTGCATCAGAATCATCTGGGGAGCTTGTTAAAGACATGGATGTCCAAGCCCCACCTAGACCTTCTGAATCAGAATCCCCAGGGGTGGGGCCCGGACACTTGTGGGCTTAACAATCTCCCCAGGTGATTCCGAGGTACACCAGGGCTTGAGAAGCACTGTCTCAGCATGCGAGTGGGAGTTACCCGGGTGAAGGAGGGAGGGGAGCCGTGCTGGGAGAAGAGGCAGCTGCAACAGGAGTCTGAAGAACCAAGGGGAGACACAGGAACAATTTTCTTCTCCATCCTTATCTTTCTTTAACAAAGTGGTCATATAAAGGGGGTTAGAAATCCCTTTATTCAGGCATGTCCTCCTTCTGATAGAATTGCTATGTGCAGTAGGAATGAATAATGCACTCCTTTTAGAAGAAATTAAAATAGCCCATCTTCTTCAGAAAGTAGAATAGAGGTTCCTAGGGGCTGCAGGGTGCGGAGAATGAATGAGGAGTAACTGTTTAATGGGGACGGAGTTTCTGTTTGGGGATGATGAAAAAGTTCTAAATGGGTAGTAGTGATGATTCCACAACAGAGTGAATGTGTTCAATACCACTGAACTGTATGCTTCAAAATGGTTAAAATGGCAAATTTTATATAATATATATTTAGCACACATATACAAATTAGCCAGTCTTTCTGAGGGATGTAATGATAGGAGCAAACAACTTTCAACTTCAGCTGATCACTGCTACCTCAGGGGTGTGTGTGTGTGTGTGTGTGTGTGTGTGTGTGTGCACGTGCTCGCACACACACACAGGCATGGGGAGTTGACAAAATACAAGTGGATTCAAAGATAAAAAAATTTGAAAAGTGATGGCAGTGACAAAATGATATGTACATATATAGAGAGATGCCAAGAACACTCTTTCCTGTCCCCTTTGCCTGGTTGACTCCTGGGTTCCATATCACTTTTTTTTGGACTAGCTTGTTGAGCAGTGTCTCTCAAACTTCACTGAGCATAGAAATCACCTGGGGACTTTGTTAAATTGCACATTCTAATCCAATAGATCTGAGGTGAAGCTCTAGCCTGCATATCTAACAAGTTCCCAGGTGATGCTGACATTCTAGATCCACGGACTACATTGGGAGGGCTGTGAAAACTTAGTATTTTTTGTTTACCATGATATCCTTATGTCCAGCAGAGTGATTAGCACATAGTAGGTGCTCAATAAATATTTACCGAGTGAATGACAAAGTACATAGTGTGGGTATAGGAGTTTGGAGAACAGATGATCTTTGTCCTGAACTACAGCATATTTAAGGTGTTTCTGCTTCTATAAGTCATTCACTTTGTAAAATTACCTCATACTCGGTAGAATAAGGACGTGAGTTCTCAATATTTTTGGCCTTATCGCCTTGCTACCTCAATCCTAATCTTTGAAATAGTTGCCCTATACACATGGAGGTTAATGAACTCTGGTTTGCAAGCTCTGAGGAAGACTTGCTATAGTTTACAACCGTTGCAAACAAATTCTCTCCATCCAAGGAGGGAGCAGAGTGCACGGAACCTGCTGGTGTGGGAATTTTCCAGATTTTGGTGCCTGAGTAATTGACACGTTGGCCTCCTCAAATAAACAGGCTTTTTAATGGTGTATCTGAGAAAGAGGTTCATTACCCTAAACCACATGAATGCATTATTTCTATTAATTACTATTATCGTTTAAGATGATGATAACGACACTGGAAATTATCGTTTATGATGATGGTAAGCGTGTGGGTCAGTAGGGGGAGGGGGAAGAAGGCTTTCTCCTGTGCAAGCAGGAGAAAGAAGAACTACATCTCCCAGAACCCCCCGGGGAAAGCCACGCCTGCTGGACCCGCCCCATCGATGACGTCACAGAGGTGACATCACGGCGCCCAGAGCGAGGCTGGAGGCCGACTTAGCTGGAATCGTCCGCTGGTCGTGGAGGCTGCTAGGGAGCCGGCGAGGGGGTGAGCAGGCGAGCAGACGAGAGAGCTAGCGCAGGCAAGAGGGAGCGTTGCGCGGCGCAGAGTAGCGCCGGGGCCCGGCCGCGGAGGAACCTACAGCCGAAGAGGGGGCAACCCGAGCCGGGCGCCGCGGGGTCCCCACCCCCACTCGGCCGGACAGTGCCCGGTGTTCCCCCGTGCGGGGGGCGGCGGCGGCGGCTGACTGGACCCGACAGGACCGCGGGGGTATTGCCACCTCCACCGAGGAGCCGGCGCGGCCGCGGGCTCCTCAGAGCCGGGGCCCGAGGCCCGTGACAGACGGGCCGAGGAAGGAAGGGAGGCGGCGGCAGCGGCAGCGGCGGCGGCGCAGGCGACGGGGAGGCAGCGGCGACACCATGTCATCCCCTAGTCCGGGCAAGAGGCGGATGGACACGGACGTGGTCAAGCTGTATCCTTCGTGGAGGGGGGATTCGGGCTGTAGGTGGGGGGCGGTGTGGGGATGCCTAGGGCAACCCCTGAAACCCAAACAAGGGCTCTGGGGCACTCCAGGCCACTGTCCGAGGCTCCCCCTCCCTTCCCTTCCCCCAGTGCCTACGGCGGCTCCTTGGCACCTCCCAGGAGCCGAGAGCCTTTTCAGCTCCCCCTTTATTTTCATTACCCCGAAATGTGCGTTTTTCCTCGCTCTTCCTGCACCCTCCACCCGTCCCCCCCGCCCCCCCCCCCCAGTGCCCGTGACTTTCCTCCACGACGCTTGGACTCCCAAGGCAGGCTTTTAATTTATTTATTTTTATTTTTTATTTTTTTTTGGTCAAGACCAGCCACCTCTCTCCACCAAGCCCACCTTCAAGGTCTCTCTTTCCTGTTTGCTTGCTTCTGATTTAGGAACTCGAGATGGAAATTCCCGAGAGTGAAGCCTTTCTCCCTTTTCTTGAGATGCCTCTATTCCCTCCACTCAATGCTTCCTGAACTGGGGTAACTCAAGTGACCTCCTTTATCCCTAATTCCTTTCTATATTAGGAGAAGAGTAGTCTGCTCAGTGCCCCTCTTGTAGTGATAAAGACCTCTGAGCGTTTTAAATCAGGGACCCCCGTTAAGCTTCTTGGTCCCTAGAAGAACCCACTGTTTTTCTTTCCACTGACAAAGCCTAGCCTACCCATAGATGTATGTGGTGAGGACCCCCAGGCCCTCCACCAAGCCACCCTCCATATTGTGGATATGACAGCTGGGGCGAGGGAGAGAAAGACAATCTCCTTGACGAAATAGCCCCTGTACTAGCCACTTAAGCCAATTCTCTCTATGAAGATAAGGTTCTTTGGGAATAATTGCCAAACGACACCCTTTATTTTCCTAACCTACCCCCTCCCCTTGCCCCAAGTTTATGTACTCTGGAGGTGGCAGTGGGAAAGCTGTAACTGATAAGAGTCCTTCAGGCAGTGGTTTTGGTTGGAGTCCAGACTGATTATTTCATGACCAACTAGAGAAATTCGCGAAGGTTCCTGTGACAAACCGAGAAATTTTTTTGAGCGGTAATTTAGAGGGTGGGGGGAGAGGAAATGAACCCAGTGTTCTGAACAACTAATCACTGGAGAGAGGGGGAAACGGGTGGGGAGTGTTAGTGTGTGAAACAGTTTAAAAGTCCTGTGTCCTGCCTTTCTTTCTCTCTTACCCCCATCCCCCCACCATTTCCCCCTGTTGCAGGATTTTGTTTATATAACTCAAGTTGTTTGGCTGGATTCTTCAGGTGAATTCCTTCTTTCCTTTTATTTGTTACTTTTTGTGATTGGACTTTTTACCTCTGTACAGATCGATGATGTTAAATATTCAGTTATGGAATTTGCTAAAGTTTTTAAACAAGTAGTTTTTGCATTTGGTTTGGAAGCGGGGGATGGGAGGGAAGTTCCTGGGCAAGTGATTTTTTCTTTTTTTTTTTTTTCATAATCTTTCCAGGAATAAGAAGGTGTTTTTCTCTTCACTTAGGAAAACTTAGCTAGAAATTAGGAACAGATAGACTTACAAGTTTTAGGGTTTCAAATTCAGAATTTGGGGGAGGTGGGAGTGGAGGGGGTGGGAGAGAGGAGCAAGTACTTAAAGTATGTATTATGTACCAAACATATGTCCAGGCATAAGTGAGACTCTATGAGCTGTTTGTGGCTCTGATGAGTTTTGTAAATGTGTGAATGATACCAGTAATGTTGGCTGTTCGTAGGGGTTTCAGGAAAACTTGTAACTATGGCTGTGTGTACGTTTTACATAAAGCAGTTTCGGATTTTATTTTTGTTTAGAAACTAGGAAATGACATGGTGGCAGGATCTGAGTTATTTTTATCTTGAATTCGGAGTTACTGTCACACCTAATGCAAATTTCTACCTAATGTTTAATTAGAATGGGGGTGGGTGAGAGAATGCCAGCTGTTTTTGATCAGTGTCAGATTCTCAAATTATATACATATATATTTTTAGAAGATTGAGGATAAAGGGTGAGGCCTAACTTGACCTGATGCCTTTTCCATACAGTGCCTTTTGTTCATTTAGTAGTTGTGGCATCTAGAATGATTACCGCATTTAGGAGTCGGGGTGTGGGGGGTGGAGAGGCAGAGGAAAACAGACAAAGAACTGCAGGGTGTCTTTCTTTTTTTCTTCCCCTAAGTGGCTTATTTCATAGCTTATTTTTAGTAGAAGATGAAGAAAGGCTAAGATGCATTGGCCTTCTGTTCTTTCCCCACCTTCCTCCTCTCTGACAAAAGAAAGCAGAGGCGCTTTAAAATCATAGATCTCTGAGATAGGAGAACAACAGCCTCGGGATTTAAAAGGCAGAGGTTATCTTTGTTTCGGATTTGTTATTTTCTGGGTTAACATAGTTTGGAAGTTAAAATTTCCTACGTCCTTTTGTGTGTGCATGTGTCTTGTCTGGTTGCGAGATTTTGTGGCCTCCTTTCTCTGTTGAATTCACATTAGCAGGCCCAAATGGAGCCAACAGTTTTTTGAACAAGGTATAGGTAGCAAAAAAATATAAAGGAAAAAATTCCTTAACCCACTATGAAAATGAGTACAATTGTGTGAAAGGGTTGGGGTTGAAAATGAAAGATGGTGGAGAGGAAGTAGAAAAGGTCTGAAGGAATGTACTTGCTTTTTGCCCCTTAGTGTCCCTTGATTTCTTTGGTGTGGAGGCTGATAGCTGGTTTCATTGCAACCTCCTGTTTCAGCCCATTTTTGGATGTCTCCTGAGTGTAATTATGCTACAAGGATTTACAGCCTGGTAGGGAACCTGTATAGTAGGAAAGTAGCGGTGTGGGGGTGGGGAGAGAAGAGGATGTGTATCTGGCCACTGCCTTCCACCACCTCTTTAGGAGACACTGACTCGGGTTGTTTAGAGTCAGTGATACTTCTCTTGTGGTGGGTTGTTAGGAGAGTTGAGTTATACAGGGAGCGAGTGTTTTGCACCGATTCACTTAATAATCTGCTGGGTGATTATGTTCTGAAACTCTGACTCATTCATTGTTTCTCTTCTGATCCTTTGCTGAGTGTTGTGCAAACCTCTCCAGAAGCCTAGAAACTGATGTACATGACTTTTGGGCCCTGTTAAGTGTGTCCCAATCAAGAAACTTAAACTTAGCCTAAATCCTGTGGAATGGTTGTGAATAGTGTGGCCATTTGTCTGCAAAGTCAGGTAGATGAGTAATACTGTGCTGTTTCCAGCTTGGCAATCTTTGAGGTTTCCATCTCAAACTCCACTGATTATTTAGATTGTCTGAGAGCTGGGACTTTGGTGACCTTAAAGCGTGATTTGCCCTAAAGGAATATCGGTTTAAATTCTCCTTGGTAGAGGAACAAACAGCTCAGATTACACGGGTTTCCTTGTTGGTGGAGGTTACTCGTCTCACCCTGTTGCACAGCCTGGTGATCCTTTTATCTGTGAACCAGTGGCCCCTGCTGAATGTTGGAGCTGCTTGTTTTGGAAAAGCGTTTGCAGGCAAAAGGCCGCAGGCACAGCTCCTCACAGCTCATTGGCTGCTCTGTTACTACCCGGAAAAGGAGGAGGGGTGGAGCTACCAAACAGCTGATAGAGTGTGTGGCCGAGTGTGTTTATATACAAAAGGAGCAGGGGCTGGGGAGGCCTTGTGCATGGCATTACAGGATCAAGTGCATTTTCAAGGAGTAAAACGAGGAGAGGAAGCTCTGACTTCGTGGAGTGAAAGGAATGTTCAAGGTTAAATCAGAAAAGTAGATCTGATAATAATGGGACTTGGCACGCACTGTATTTGTTATTGGTGTGAGATTTTGGAACTTATAATACCAGGAGTTTTTCAAAGATTCCTCTTTTCAGAGGGAGTGCAGTAACTTGAAACAGGATAGGTTGCTATTTTGTGTTCTTAACTGACTCTTGCAGAGACTCAAAGTTATGGTAGAATGTAAGTTTCCTTTGGAAAAGCTTTTGAGTTCTGGAAAGGGGCAGTGACTTACACTAAGTTCATTAACAGCGTTAGTGAATCTTACAGAATCCTGGATATCTACTTAGGGTTCAGAAGCTTTCAACAACAGTTTATTCCCTCAAATATTTGAGTACCCCTTTTGTGTCATGTTTGGTATTAGGTGCTGGGGGTTTAGTGAAAAATTCATTATGCATTGTCATATTTCTGTAACTAGTCAATTTTTTTAAAAAGGTCAGCACTGTCTATATTACCTTTCTGAATAATTTGTGTTTACTTTCAGAATTGACTTTTCAAGGAATAGAAAGGTTAAAATGTAATTTTTACTTGATGGGATGTATGGGAATTTTTGTTCCTGTTATTTGAAAGAAAAATAGCCCTGGCTGGTGTGGCTCAGTGGATTAACTGCTGGCATGCAAACCCAAAGGTCGCTGGTTTGGTTCCCGCTCAGAGCACTTACCTGGGTTGCAGGCCAGGTCTCCAGTTGGAGGCATGCGAGATGCAACTGATCAATAATGTATCTCTTGAACTTTGGTGTTTCTCTCCCTCTCCTCTCCTCTCTAAAAATAAATAAATAAAATCTTCTTTTAAAAAGATTAACAAATGGAAACAAGAAAAGTTAAAATGTGTAGCCATTTGCCTTTGACATCAACTTTAGTATTTTCCTGTTAATCAAGTAGTTATTCTGTCCTTCAGTTAATAATCGTTGTTACTGTTTGATTTATGCTCAAAGTGGAGACAATTATGTAATGTTTTAATCAGTTCCAGTGTCAGTTGGGAACCTGTGATTTGCCTTTTATTTCCTGCGGCCTGTGTTCTGGTGAACGATGAGGTGAAAGGCAGACAGTTTAATGGTCTTCAAGCTCAAAGCTAAAGCTTTGGCAACTCACAGTGTTCTGAATTTGTCTTCTCTGCCTAGATTTTGGTGGCAAATATAACATACGAGTACTTATTTTGGTTAGGCAGGAACCTGCATGAGTAAGCAGTCACAGCTTCAGGACATCTGATTCCTGCAGCACAGT